TATCAACACCAAAATGCGAAGGACCTCCCCGTGTGTCAACATCAGAACGCCAGGGTCGAACCCGCGTTACAACATTAAAACGCCAGGGTCGAACCCGCGTTACAACATCAAAACGCTGGGGTCGAACCCACGTGTCAACATCAAAACGCCAGGGTCGAACCCACGTGTCAACATCAAAACGCCAGGGTCGAACCCGCGTTACAACATCAAAACGCTGGGGTCGAACAAGCGTTACTACAAGCTAAATGTGAGCGACCCTCGCGTTCGTAAGGGTCCAGCCAACACCGACCCCCGCGTTTCTAAGCTATAACAAACCAAAACGCGAGCGACCCTCGCGTTCATCAATGTTCAGCCAACACCCAACTTCGCGTCTCAATTCTAAGAGGCGAAGTTGGGTTCTGAACGCCAGATTGGGCGTTTTGACTTGTTCAAACACAAGCCGAACGGCCTCAAAACCGTTATCCCACGTTCTGAGGGATTTTCGCCCACTTAGGAGCGGATTTAGAGGGCAGTTACAACCTCTAATCCCCCTATAAAAACTCAACAAACTCAACTGAGTTAGGGGTTCGATTTTTCTTGGCTGGAATCGACCATTGAAGGCTGACACTTTTTTTTTGGAGCTAAGAATTGGCAGCAACAGGGGAGATCATTGGGCGAACTTCAGAGGAGATCGGCATCATCCTTCAAGGAAGATCATCTTCAACGTTCGGCAACAGAGAGCTGTGATCCTTGGCTATTAACCGACTTTCGGTTCAAATCAACTCTTTTTCAAGAGTTCAAACTCGATCAGAGTTATCAACTCATCAAGAGTTCTAAAACTTGCCACGCAAGTTCTCCACAACGTCAAATCGTGAGGAGAAGACATCGTTCCAGTGAATCAAGACGTGCGGATCGTCAACGGAGAGCAAACTCGACGCGAGCATTCGAGGGAGGCACTCCATCGCCACCGTGAAGAACCCAGTTTTAAACAAAGGAGAGAATCAAATTCGTTCTCTTCTCTTTTGTAATCAAGTTGTAATCGGAATTAAAGGAATACAAGTCAATTTTCTTTAATCTTTTCATTGCAATTTTTTCCTACAAACATCAGCCCGTGTTGATTTGCCCAAGAGGACATGGCCCTACGAGATGGTGATGGAGGAAAGATGGAGACTATGTTGGAGAATAATAGTAGAACTACAGTTAGCTTGATCCCAGTGGAGGGTACGTAGGCAGCCGCGGTATAGTGACGCAGCTGGTTTAGCCTGGTTTCTTGGCCTGGATCTCTCTGGTGGAGTTCGTGGGGTTCTTCTAGTATTCGTCCAAAATTTAAGGTTTATCAAATGATGAACGAGGTTAGGGGTGGGCAAAAACCGAAAAACCCGGTTCAACCGAAAAAACCGCCCGAAAAAGCGGGCCGGTTAACCGAACCGGATTAAATAGACGAGAAGAAGACTCTAAACCGCCCGAACCGAATTAAACTGGTCTGGATTCGGTTTGAACCCCTGAACCGCCCGAAAAAACCGAACCGAATTTTCTAATATAAATACTGAAAAATCCCTAATCCTAACTCCATTTCTCCCAGTCCCACACCACAACACCGCCGATCCCAGGATCTCTAACCCGAATTCTCAAAATACATTTCTCCCAGTTCTCTCTGCCCTTTTAATCGAAGTCCAAGGTAATTCTCTTCTCCTCTTCTCTTCTCTCTCCTTAAGATTCTTGTAGAAACTCAAGAAAAGATTTGATTTTTGACGAGGTTTGATTTCACTGATTTCAGTTTTTTTGTTAGCTGTGGCAATGGTGTTACTTCAAACAAGCTCCACATTTCATTGTTTAGGGGGGGAAATTAAGTAGACAAAATGGACAAATAATGATACTTCATCGAAAATTAATAGGCAATGATCTCAGGTGTGGGCAGATTTTTGTGAAATGGAATTAATTCGGCCCAAAACCGAAACCGATCCGAACCGATCCGAATTTCGGTTGGGCCGAATATTCAGATGAAGGGGAAAAAAATCTGGATCTGGATGAGAGTTTTGAGAATTCGAAAAAAATCGGATTGGATGCGGGTTGGACTTAAAACCGACCTGAACCGAATATGCCCAGCCCTAAACGAGGTGGATGATATTGTTGAGGCGGGGGGCGGGGGGGGCACCCCACGTGGGCGTGCTGCCCACAGAAAGACCGCCTGCTTTCGTGCGCGCGCACGAAAGGCCCGTCGCGCGACCGGCTTGTGCGGCGACGACGAGTTTGTGGTCGTGTCCGTGCCGCGCCTACGCGCGTCGTCTGCTGCCCACAATCTCGTGGTCGTGCGCCAGTCCGAGCGGGCGCTCTTTCTTCCCGCGCGTGAGTTTTCCTTTCCCACTGCTTTTGCCTGACTGATTTTTCGGTTCTGCCCCCTTTCCTTGCCTATAAATAGCAGTGGTGTTTGGGGAGAGTTGTGTAGGGGAAAATAAGTGGGAAATTCTTAAGTGTGAGAAACTTGAGAGGAAAAGAAAGAGTGAGTGAGAGAGAGCTTATAAGGGGAAAATAAGTGGGAAATTCTTAAGTGTGAGAAACTTGAGAGGAAAAGAAAGAGTGAGTGAGAGAGAGCTTATAATAGTTTGGTATTCTCCTCATAGTGAAACCCTCTCCTGTGGACGTAGGCAAGTTTGCCGAACCACGTAAATCTGTTGTCTTATTTTTTACTGTGTGTTGCCATAGCTTGTAGGTTCCCTCGACATTTCAGTCTTAGAACTGATGAGAGGAAGAGGAAAAGAAAGAGTGAGTGAGAGAGAACTTGTAATAGTTTGGTATTCTCCTCATAGTGAAACCCCCCTCCGGCCCGTGAACGTAGGCAAGTTTGCCGAACCACGTAAATCTGTTGTCTCGTTTTTTACTGTGTGTTGCCATAGCTTGTAGGTTCCCTCGACATTTCAGTCTTAGAACTGATGAGAGGAATAGTGTATATTTCACTTTGATGAAATATATCACTTTCGATTTTTGTTTCCTTTGAGAAATAAGAATTTCACTATATATTCTAGTTTTCTTTGAGAAACAAGAATATAGAGGTTGACTTGTGCTTTTGTGACAACAAAAACCAGAACTATCTCTCCGGTGATATCGCTTCCGCGGCGTGAGGGCGTGACTCTGCGCCCAACAGTAACTGTCATCAAACGAGATTATGACACAGCTCAATCCAAAAATTGAGCCCTAAGAAATATATCACCAAAAAAAACTCACTCTAATTGCCGATGGTGCTGAGATCTTTATAAATTCTAGCAAAATCCACAGATGACATCCGCACGATAGCCTCGTATTCGAAATCAGGAATTCCAACATTATCGTTGTTAATGTTCATGAGATTCATCGCATGTTCCCTACTCCTATTGGTATATGTTTTTCGCTGCCACAATGTTTTACTAAAAGTTCCCTACTCCTATTGGTATATGCTTTTCACTGCCACAATGTTTTACTAAAAGTTCCCTACTCCTATTGATATATGTTTTTCACCGCCACACTGTTTTACTAAAGATAAAACAATATCAGCATTCAAGAAACCACATTAAATTAAAAAAAAAATTGCCAAGTTTGTTTGGGATGTTTTATATAAGACTATCGTAATTTTTTTCTCTGGTAATTTACATGTAACATATTTTGGACAATTTTATCATTATATACTTTTCACATCTTTTAAATTGCTCTTATGAATTTTGTGGATTAACATATATATAATAAGAAGAGCTTAGAATTTTCTAAAAAAATTAATCTGAGACACTAAAGTCGTCAACAAACAATTGGTTCATGGTTATTTTTAGCACTTTTGAAAGTTCAGGATAGTTTTTTTTTTCAATAAAAAGTTCAGGCAATATTGCGAAATCTTCGAACGTCAACATAATTTTGTCAAGATGAATTGTATCTCACTAAGACTTTCGAACTTGAAGGTGACAACTCCGCAGTCATCATCGGCAACTCTGATGGTGATGGAGTAATCGTCGCCAGCGCACTTCAGAGCCTCGACATGTTGTTGAGGTTCTTGCCCATTGAGAAGTTGCGATCACAAGGGTAGATTTTGAATCCTTTAGATTGAAGGAGGAGGGATATGAGAGCTCCGTTGCTGGGGTCCGCAGACTGAAGAGAGAAGTCTGAGGACGTGCACATGATCGAAGTTGGCATTGCTAACGAGATCTTTAATGGCTTCGACGATTACCTCGGTCGAACTTGATTTCCAGCATCTCCACTTTTTTCCCCTCTATCTAAATAACAACGTCCTAAGTTTTTTTTTTTTTTTTTCCGAAGATTTAATGTGGACTTATTATATATAATAGTACATAGCTTGGAGGAAACGAAGCCTTGCTGCTATAAGGAAACATGTATTCAAATGCCTAGAGAAGTTTCATATTTGGTAAACTCAATTTTATACACTTTAGTAGCATGAAATAAAGAAATTAAAACAGGACTTGAGCGGCGTTTCCAACATAAACCTCGCAAGAATTCTCATGGTTGCAGCACACCCTTCCCAAATATCTTACCCAAAAATAAATATATAAACAAATAAAGGATTCTGGTTCTGAATTTCTAATTTTGGCATGGGTTTTTTTTTCTAAAAGACTAAAATAACAACAAACGGTCTAGTTTCTTGGGCCTCTCGACAGGCTTATCATTCATTCCTCCTGAAGTTATCCCACATTGCCAAAAATAAATGTTATGACTTTTAAAGTTGCGAAACAGGTTGAGATGCAGAGCAACAGATAAGCTATGCAGCACCGAGTCCAGTCAACAAGCAAGTATGAGAGCGTAACATCTGAGACGATGAAAACATGAAGACATGAAACAAAAACATAAGGACGGTGAATTGACTTTGGGTGCCATCTCCAAATGGCAGTACTCAGCACCGAAAAGCATTCAGTCCGCATGTTCAAATCTGACATCAATCTGTTCTCTTTTGAGTAGGGGTGGAAAAAGAAAATGAAAGATGAACAATTTGTACAATCCAGTAACAGAAAGGAAAGAGAGTGAAGCACAGATAGAGAAATAACACATCAAAGGAACAGACAAGCTCATCAAAGGAAAGAAAACAGATAGAAATTACAGCATATCAAATACAAGTAACAGCGAGGTGCCAAACAAAAATCACGATAAACTAGTACCTTAAGTTATAAAACCATTTTCCGAACACTAATTGTCAGCTCTGGTATGCCACAAACATTAATGCTGGTGAAAACTTTCCTATCCAATCCATGCAAAGTAAAACTAAGGTAAAGGACAGGCGTGAGAGAGAGAGAGAGAGAGAGAGAACCGAGTTTAGGGCTTCATTTCCTCATCATCATCTTCAATCTTGGGCGCCAAGTAGAATCGGATGTAACCCATGTCAGCAATCTTGTACTCGACAACCACTGGAAGCTCAGAAGAAAGGCTGATGGTCACAGTTTCAGATAGAGGGCTCGCTTTGGTAAATGAATTCATGTATCTGAGAGCAAAAGTCAAGGACACTGGCTGATTCATCTCTATGATGGTAGCTTGCTCTGGCTGTTTTAAGGTAATTTCAGAAACTGGAATTAGAATAACAAGCCATGTCATATGATAGATTAAAAGATTCATCTCGAAAAGTTTACCTTGTCAACAGTACTGTTCTGCCTGCAAACAATATTTGCATTTCCAATGTCCCCCCTTGTTGAAAACTTCACGCCTTCCTTGGTAACTGAAATAACAACTGCCATCCCATCCAACAATGCAAAAAATTCACATAAGAGCCACATAAAGTCAAATAAAAATAAAGTTATTCAAAGTCAATCATACCAGTGTCACCGATGCTGCTGAGATCCTTACAGATCCTAGCAAATTCAGCAGATGGCATCCGCACAATAGCATGGTACTCAGCATCAGGGATGCCAAGATGCTCGCTGTCAATGTCCATGAGCTTCATTTCAAAGTCCGAAATCCTGTCTTGTTCTGTTCATGAGGAAGGCCACAAAAATCAGGATATGGGTCTGTGGATTTCTAGATAGGATATAGCAAAGTTTGACATGAAGCAGGAACAAGAAGCAATGACCATAGCCTATAGCCCCAGAACTACGTTAACGATGATTTCTGGCATAAACATGTGCAAGTTTAACTCTCTAAGTCATTGAAAAAGGTGTTTTACTGGCTGTAAAAGGTGTTTTATTGGCTGTTTCATACTTGAAGACTATGTTGCATTGGTACAGCTACAGGTATCAGTACAGGTACCGGTAGGAGTACGTGTTGCATTGGTACAGCTACGGGTATCAGTAGGTACGAGTATGGGGCATGACAAATTTGTAAAAGGTATGGTACGGAGACACGGCTAAAATAAATATTTATATACACATATATTATATATTGGAATTAATAATTTATATGAGAACAATGATGAGAATTACATTTCCTACAACATTTTTATGTTTCTTTTATTATTTGCATTATAAATTGGAAAACACTAGTTTTTGGACTAGACATCCAAAAGACCCTTCAAAATCATAATCCAGAACGACATAACCTGACCAACAAGTTTGCAGAACTGGATGTGAAGTGTAGAATATATGTCCAAAAAATAAATGACAGCCATTTTAAATTAAAATATGCATTGTGTTATTGAGTACACGCCCGAATAATGTATGCATATATGCAAGGAGTGTCCAAGGAGTTTGGGGCTAGGTACGAGTACCTGTCAGGTACAGGTAGGGGTACGACTTCAAATTAGACGTACCCCGATAACATAGCTTGAATCATACAGCCAAACAAAAAATTACCCAGAAAAGTAAACAACAAAACGAACTCCCATCATCATAGTTCTAAACCCTGAATCCCAACCCTCCTCTTTCATCACTTAATAATTTTACGTGAATAAAGGCCCACAGTGTGTATATCTCACTACCCAGGTTCCTCGGCCTGAAAAAGGAGGTTCAACGACCCATATACCAAGCCTTGCTTTTATGCTATTTTTGCCTCTAGATGCAGCAAGAATGACATGGATTTCCGTCAAAATGATTTCAATTGCGTCATACTACCTTACAGTGGAAAAGGAGAGAACCTTCATTGCAAAAATCTTTGCTCTAGTAGACCATAATGGTTTCATTAAACTCTCTTTTCAGCTTTAACTGACTTTCTATTAAACCTTACAAAATGTCAGTTGTACAGGCCATCATCACAGCATTTACCTCAGTTCAACCGTTATAGCTATTTCATACCTCCTCTAAAACCACTAGGATTGTAAGTACGAAGTTAAAATATAAAATGGTTTGCTCGTATCAGGTCAAAAAAAGGAGAGATGGAAAGATTATGGCCAATTGCTCTTTGCCTAGCAATTCCCCATTTAGGCATCCCCAACTATAGAACATGATTAGGCTAGGGCCCATCACAAAATGAGATCAGTGCCTGAATTCCTACCCCGGAGAGGTGAAACTGAAATCCATGGTATGGCATCTCTAATTGAATACATCTACATCACCTTACTATCCTCAATGGCTATTGTTCTACTTAACTAACGCAATTAATATACCACTAGGATTGTAAGCACGAAGTTAAGGACAGTGTGATGAATAAAAGAAGTTTCATCTTCATCCATTGTTCCTTCCTGTTACTAGTAATAGCCATCACCAGACCCTTAAAGAATATGCAAACTTGGGCCAGTTGTTATAAGTCCAATGGCATGATAAACTCCTGATCTTGTCATTGGTTTGATAGCAGACAATCTCTTCCAGATTCTCCCCATGACATTAGCCACTCTTGTTATGGGATAGAACTTTACAAGAAATAACCTTAGGGGCTGTTTGGTTCGTTTTTTAACTCGGTGGAAAAGTTTTACACCGCCTCCACATCAGATTTTTCGTGGCCACGTAGGATATAAGCTTTCCGTCGGTTTTTTTTCCCATCTTTGGTTCGCTAGGGTTGAAGAAAGGAAACTCAGTGAAAATCGCCGCCACATCAGATTTTTCTCTCCCCCAATTCCTTCCTCAACCTCGTGAAATCGACAAAAATTGCAGCCACGTCAGCTTTTTGCCATATAAACAAAAGTTTTCCCTTTTTTTTCCATGCGAACCAAACACAAGAAAAATAAATACATTGGTTTCCCACCATTTTTTTTGTGCGAACCAAAGCGAAACAATCTATTTCTTGGAAAAGTTTGGAAAACTCAAAACTTGTGTTTTTTTACATGGAAATGCATTTCTCTATATCTAGGAAACGAACCAAACAGCCCCTTACAAGAAATATTGATGTACTAGGACATTTTCTGCAACTAAGCCTAAAACATTAACTAACACAGAACAATTATGATACACATAAACAGAAGAATGAAAGCATCAAGCAAGTTGACTCGTGTAAGGAATAACATACATACATACCAGAGTGAAGATTACAAATCATAAATACAATCAAAACGATTTCACAAACCATCCACTCAAGGAACATATTATACAACCGATAGACTATAACATTTGTCCAATTCAGAAAACACGTTCAAGAAAACAAATGTAAGTTATCTATTTAATAATTCAAAAGAACAAAACTTAAACTGCAGTAAGCGAGACAAGTAAATAGATTATGTATTAAACCTCCCAACCTACACCCCTGACATAATGAAATATACACATCTTATGAGAGTTCTATTTCATCGATATAACTAAACAAACACCTCATGCACATCAAAATCTAGTAGCCAAGGAAGCAAGTAAAGAACATAAAAAATCATAAACTGCGAGAATGAACTGACATTACGATTACTAATATGGGCGATTTGGTTCAAGTTTATAGATATTCGGGCTCCTTTCTTCTAATAGGTAGTTCTTGGAGGTGATTTTTCCTAAGCCTCTACAAATAACATGGAACCTAACTAAAAGAAAGTAAGATGTCCAGATCCACTCAAGATCCTGTCCCTGCTGTATTCTGATTCATTGAGACCACTGAACAAACACTTTGCATGCAGTTTCCTTGCCCGAGCAGCATCAAGAACACTAAGACAATAATAACTAACAAGAACACTACAATGATAACTAACAAACAACTAATGTATCAATTATAAGATTAACACACATAAGTTAGATCAGAATTACAAAACGAAAAGATTAAGACTAAGATTGATCTTACTCGGGGTTTCAAACATGAAGGTGACGGTATCGCTGCCATCGTCGGCCTTAAGGGTGATGATGTCATCGTTGCCGGCGCACTTTAGCATCTTGGCCATGTTGTTGAGGTTCATGCCCATCGAAATGTTGCGATCGCAGCGGTAGTGCTCGAAACCCTCGGATCGGAGGAGGAGGGCGACGAGTGCCACGTGGCTGGAATCCATGGCCTGAAGCGAGAACCCCGATGAGGAGCAGTCGAAGTTTGCGTCGGTGACCAGATCCTTGATCGACTCCAGAACTTTCTTCAGGAGACTTCCTTGAACAAGCCTGAGCTCAAACATTTTTGCAAGCGTCTACTCGATTTCGATTTCTTAACCTCTTGAGAGAGAAAGAGGGATGAAGATGGAAGAGAGATCTTCGGTGTCTAGGGTTTTGCTGTGGGTTTTGGAGGGAAATTGAATTCCTTGCCCTAGAAGCTAGCCGTCGTTGCTATTTGCAGTAAATTATAGAATTGCCCTCGTTTGTCTTTGATGGTGAAGAGAAACGATGGCTTTGTCATTTTTCCAAAATACCCTCGCTTAGAAAAAAAAAATGAGAGAAGAAGACGTCGTTTAAAATTTTGAAAAATATCAGAGCCAGGTTTCGATCCTGGGACCTGTGGGTTATGGGCCCACCACGCTTCCGCTGCGCCACTCTGATATTGACATTGATCATGCACCTGGTCCATAATATAATTATGTTCTAGTATCACACGCAGTCCACCGACGGAAATTGGCTGGAGAGGCTGAGGATTTAGCGTGCTACATCAATGGTTAAAAATTAAGGCCCACTAAGGGATATGAAGTCCAGAGCAATAGACCCGTCGGAATAAGGGAACCTCTAAAAGGAGCTGGTCGCTCTGCACATGGATGAATAAATGAAAGCAAGTATATTAATGGAATAAATCAATTCGAATAGTTATGTTCCCTTCTACTTATCCATACTTGGCAAATCAGGGCCCCTGTTTTTTTAAGGACTGCATTTTGAATTTGTTTTCCTCTAAGTTTTAATGCATTTAATTTGATTACTGCATGCTTAAAATTAGAAATTATAACTAATCCACTATACCTAAAGAAGGATGCAAGTTTTTAATACATTTGATGTATAATTCATATTTACTCATTTTTACTTAAAAAAAGAATTCAAGTTTTAATACATTAGATTTAGACATTATAACTATATTTAGAGAACAATCCAAATGTTAATACCGTAGCAAAAAACAATTTATGATATGCTACAGTTTTTTACAGTAGCATGAACAACACTTCAAGCGTAGAAAGTAGATTTGGTTCACTATTTATGCTATAGTAATATACTATACTATTTACTGTAGCATGAACTGTAATTATTTAGTTCCTCCTACTAGTATAGAAGAGTAGATACAAACCGAATACTGGTACTTATAGTACATACATGTATTGTTTTCAATACCAAGACAACAATTTCCTGTTTGCTTTTACTGGTGTTTTTTTTTTCGCATTTATCAGATTTAACCACGAAAGATTGCGTCGGTAAAGCCTTCGACCCGCTAAAATTGTTATGGCCCGTTGACGCTGGGCCGGATCCCTCAATACCGAGGTTTAAAAAAAATGCGGAATAAGAACGCAGCGCGTGCCTATCGGTAGCCCGAGAGGAAAGCACAAGTAGGGGTGGTAAATGATCGAATCGAATCGAATACTAAAGTGTTCGTATTTGTATTTGTTTAAAATTATCGAATTCGAATGCAGAGTCTAATATTCATGTATGGAGTTTTTCGAATTCGAACTCGAATACTTGGTATTTGATAAATATTCATGAATATTCACGAATACTTTTTGAATATTCAAGTATATTTATTCCGCTAAAGAATTTGATTTTCAAATGAAATTTAAATTCATAAATAAAAAATATTCCTTTATAATAAGTAATGTATGTATATTTAAATCAAAATTTTCATTAGAAAATAAATTTAAGATTAGTTTAAGTCTTAAAATCAGTACATAAAACTTTAGTATAAACGGTAAATAGGTTAAAAATATGACATCATATGTGAAATAATACAAATAATAAGTGATCAAATTTTAAACGAATATTTGATAGACAAACGAATCGAATGTACATCTGGTTAAATTCTATTTGTTAGTAAACTCGAATACTAAAAAATATTTGTTTAGTGGTAAATGAACTACCGAATCGAATATGACCGAATAGTTACTCGAATAATTATCGAACTATTTGTTAATTATTTGGTTCACTTCCACCCCTAAGCACAAGCGAGGGAGAGAGAGGGGGGTGAAATTGTAAATAACAAATTTCCCGGAAGAATCATAAATGCAGCTGACGAGGATTTTGAGGAATCGGACCCAAATGCTTCAACAACATTCAACAGAAAAACAACAAAGAGTACCAGCTTTCCATATTGCTATGCTTCGCATCTCCTCACGTCACTCTCCTCCTTTTTCTTCTGTAGTTTGCGACTCGCTGGCCGAACCCTAAAACCCTCCAAAACCTGATCTCGTTTCTTTCGCCGACATCTCCCTTCTTGTTGAAACTGTGGTGGGGAGGTAATGGGAGATCACGGATCCAAGGTGGAGATCTCGTTCGCTGGGAGGTTTGCAAGCAGCGCCATCGCTGCTTGTTTCGCTGAGGTAATTTTGAGCCGCCTTTTTTTTTTTTTTTTTTTTGGTGGGGTGGGGGGGGGGGGGTCATTTGTGGAGTTCGAGTGAGGTGGATCGTGCCATGTCGGAACAAAAGTTAGGATTTTTAAATCTACATTGTTAAGGTTCTTGTGTGTTGGCTCTCTACTGAGTTGTTTATTTATCTACTTTATGATGACCGTATTTATTGACCTTTTACTGACTCGTGGAGAGGAAATTTTATTCATCGGCTTTAAATGTTTGTTCTTTCGAGTACTAGATCTTTGGTGGCGGTTGTTCGTGTCATTTTATGAACTTGTGTAAAAAATTTGTGCCTTGTTATATGAATTTTATGATCAACATTTAGAAATAGTGGGACTGCCCATCACCAGTCGAGCATGAAGTATCCAGTTAACCCTTTCACTAGTTTTTAGCTCTCATTTGTGCCTGCTGGAACCTGCTTCGGTTTTCAATTTTATTGGTGGAGGAGTGGAAATTACTATTACAGACTCAAAACGGGGCTTCGGAGTTTGGACCCAAAAGAATTAAAAGTCTATGCTTGTTTTCCCACTTCTTACAAACATCTAGATTGTTGGACCTGGTGATGCTTTGTTTATAGAATTGCCCTCAAGTAGATCCTTTGTTCATAGAATTTGTGACACATGTAATCCACATTACTCTTCTTTGTTATATTCACCCTAACCCTAACCTAACTCACACTTTTAGAGACGGAAAGAGATGGTGGTCAGGTATCTAGAGCAAAGTTTTTAAATTGGCAGACTTTCGGGTGATATGTTCAAATTTTCATTGGCACACACCAAAGATATTGAAACAGCGTATCAAAAAGGAAAATTTCACTGCATTTCCCGAAAAAGGAGGAACTTTTAATTATAAGACTGCCATTATTCATGAAAATGGAAAGATGTATTGCTCTCTGACTCATGATATTATCGTGTAAAAGCTTTGAGAAGAGTTGGCAAGGTCTGAGAACTTATTCTGTTAGATGATTCCATGATCAGAGTCAATCTACCAAGTTCTAGATTGAATAATGATCCATTGATTTGTTGCAGATCTGCACTATTCCCTTGGACACTGCCAAAGTCAGGCTTCAGCTGCAGAAGAAAGCAGTTGCGGAAGATGCAGCAGCTTTACCTAAATATAGGGGAATGTTGGGAACTGTCGCCACTGTTGCTAGAGAAGAAGGGTTGGCTGCACTGTGGAAGGGCATCATACCTGGATTGCATCGTCAGTGCATTTACGGAGGGTTGAGAATTGGATTGTATGACCCGGTATTCTCCAGCTGTCTCATTAGAAGTAGATGGGATACATAATTTATGCATTATAACAACGTTCAACATATTTTGATTTGTTGGCAGGTTAAAGCCTTCTACGTTGGAGATAATTTTGTTGGAGATATCCCTTTGACCAAGAAAATACTTGCTGGGCTTACGACTGGTAAGTACGTAGGGTACTCGGCTTGTTTCTCGGTCTTGTCTTTGAGCAGAGACATTAGAGTAACTAGTTGATCTGTGCCACATCTACTACTGCTGATACGCATTCTCATCTTTGTCACTTCCATAATTTTTCTTGACATATGAAGTATATATGCTGTGAATGTACTAGGTGCACTAGCAATTGTTATAGCGAATCCAACCGATCTTGTGAAAGTACGACTTCAGGCTGAAGGGAAGCTTCCACCTGGTATTCCAAGACGTTATTCAGGAGCTTTAAGTGCTTATTCTACAATATTCAAACAGGTTTAATTTTGACAAGTAACTGATCAATCTTCATTTCTTCATCCAATTTAATGTTCCACTGGACTTATCCTTGTATCTGATAAATCATCGGTGTGTTGTTCAATTTCATTTTCTGCTGAGATGACCTAGTACCTTGTAGGAAGGATTGAGCGCTCTGTGGACTGGGCTGGGTCCTAACATTGCACGAAATGCTATCATAAATGCTGCAGAGTTGGCCAGCTATGATCAAGTGAAAGAGGTATATAACTCTACATTGAAGAAGCTTTACGAATATTTGTTGATGCTAGTGATATACATTTTTCTTTTTTCTCTTCTTTCTCCTCATCATATTTTTTCACTCCAATTATCAATTTTTCTCTTGGTGCAGACCATACTGAAAATTCCAGGATTTTCAGACAACGTTTTCACTCATCTTCTAGCTGGTCTTGGGGCTGGCTTCTTTGCCGTTTGCATTGGCTCCCCTGTTGATGTGGTATGTTTTATTTGCCAGTCAATTCCAATGTTACCAATATGTCAAGCTTGGTATCAGTTGTTACTCTTGTAATACTTTATACTTACGCTCTGTGGACTGAGATTAATATTAACAATTATTTGCAATCCTAGATTGCCTTCACAAAAGATATTTCAGCCTACATGTTGCTTGTCCTATTTCCTGCCTGAGCAAAATAGAAATATTGTTTTACAGGTCAAGTCAAGAATGATGGGAGACTCCACCTACAAAAGCACACTAGACTGTTTCATCAAGACACTGAAAAATGATGTATGTTCCTTTCTATTCATTTTATTCTATTACTGTTTTTCTCAGGGAACTGGATATCATATTTTTTGTATGTTTTGTGGTGTGGTGTTATGTCTGTTTTCTAAATGACTTTTTAATGTTTGTCATTCAACCTCGTGCCATTTTAATTTTCTGGTTATTTGCTAGAAACAAATTCTCTTTGCCATGATTGTGTTCTATTTTGAGGATACAATGCACTCTGAAAATATGTGTTAACTCCGATAATGATGCTGCCCCAGATTATCTAATTTCAGAAGGTTTACCATGTGTCATTGTACTTATTAAATTGTTCTACAAATCATCTAAAAGTTGAAAGGATTGTAATAGTGCCTATTTCATACTGATACATGTGTTGAATAGTGATGTATACACATTTGAATACCATAGGCCTAGATTAAGTATTGAACTCATTGGTTATCATTCCTCCTTGTTAATGTGATCTTTGCTTATAAACTTCTATATCTTTCCATTCTAAAATGCTAGCCTGTCTTTTTTGTAAAATACAATGAATTCAGGAAAAAGAGAAATTTAAAAGTCAGCTCATGATTAATTGACTAGCAAGGGTGCTAAGAGAGAACTTATTTGACATGTGGAGAGTGAATTAGGCACCCTAAAATTCCTAGATGCATTGATATTATATGCCACAATCATATTGTTGCTTAGCAACATAGTCCTGTTGTTAGACTAAGACTATCAAGTAGTCGCTTTCTGCCCAAATTCCGCAGACTATTTAATCTTCAAATTTGATCCCATAAGGTAGTTGTTGAAGTCTTATGCTACCTCGCTAATGTCATTGTGATTCTGAAATACATGTCAGGATCTGTATGGCAGCTTTTAAGAATGAGAACTGCATCAAAATTCAACTTGTCCATTTTGGAGCTTTCTAAATGCATGTTAGCATGCATGTGGTATGCATGTCTTCTATGTGTTCCATGTGGATGCATGACTTTTACAGGTGCAATGCGTATAAAAACAATTTGAACGTCAGAGTCAGTCAGGACATGCATTTTGGTCATCTGTTATTGGAAATATGACAATTGCTTTGTGCAGGGACCCCTGGCTTTCTATAAGGGATTCATTCCAAATTTTGCTCGACTAGGCTCATGGAATGTGATTATGTTTTTAACTCTGGAGCAGGTGAGATGATAACCAGCTTTTTACGCGTATGAAGTTTAGACTTGTGATATTTATCTGCAGCCGTGTTTTTATTTTACTCACTGCCTAGCTTTCAGATGGCAGTTTGATGTAAAGCTTCTGCATAAATTTTCCTTGCAATGACAGCTTTAGAGAACATTCTTTTGTGTTCTATAGAAGATGTTGCTGCTCCTGTTCAGTCCCACGCTTAAGTTTTTTCTCTGTTTCCTCCATGGAGTGGAAGCTCATACTATAATTCGTATTAGCAGATACCTACTGATTCATGTTTTCGTCCAACACAGCATGTAACATTATTATTGGCTTTGGCTGACAGGTTAAGAAGTTCTTTGCAAGAGCAGTGCCTGTCTGACACACACGTGCCCTGAAGAATTTAGGAGTGCTCCTGAATAAAGTTTCCTCGAGGCGACTTTAATTGCCAACAGGATTTTGGCATTGCCCACAGACGTGTCATTTTAATTAGCAGTGCATTTTATTCTTAAGAGTAAAAATTTGTTGTAAAACACTAGAAATCTGCTGTAGTATCTGTTGTACTTGAGCGACTTCCTTATTATAGTTATCCCAACAATTTCTGGGAATATAAATTTCAATCAGATTTAAATGTTGTTCAGTCTGCTAAACATCAGGAATATTGCTTTGAAATAATAATAATAATAATGGATGAAAAGGGGATGATAAAGTTTTCTTACTCTAATTTCAAGTCCTCAAGTGAGAATGGTTCAGCGTTGTGACTCTAGTTCCCTAATTTCTGAAGGCGTGGTGCACGCATGGTCTAGTTTACATATTTGCAGTATTACCGATTTATTTTCCCATTGTCGATGGATCATAGCGCTGATTAGAGAACAATCTCCTCGGTTGTCTTCATCTTTTTGCTGGCTGCGGGGGTTTTAGTCAGTTTCACATTTTTACTTGTAGAGTCTTAGTCATTTTTTTAACGTGAAGTTTCACGTCGATGTCTTTAAGGGAAGGATGTGTTCCAGTCTTCCAGATAACAGATGAGAGCAAGGGCTTAAGCTTGGTACTGAAACCGATGCGGGTTGTATCACGGTGTTGTTACTCACAATAGGAACGCAAGAAGCAGGGGATCAAGAAGAGCATACAAGATAAATGAGCACAGCGAGAAATGTCTCAAAAAAACAATCCAACCTTCATTTCCTAAGATAGTTGTACATACACAGACTTGAACATCGCTCTTCAACTGAACTAAAAAAGAATGTCAATTTATAACTCACTCACAATTTTACAACGAATGCGAGCCTACACTCACACGAGTAGCTACGCAGAGGAGATGACGAAAGAAACTCCCCAGACTTCCTGTCCTACACAAACGAAGTGGTTAATTCAACAGGTACTACCACGGACCGCACGCAAAACCAAACAAAGGAATTACTTCCTGAAAAAATCTCAAAGCCTAACGACCGGCGAACACATTAATTCAACACCATCAGCTTTCCTTCAGTTCTTCGACGATCCATTCCTTAGCCCTGCGAAAGCACTCTTCATACACTAGCTCATACATGTGCAGCTTTATTAGCGCCAATATAACGAGTCTGTCGATTGTACCTCCATGCTTCTCATATAACACGGGTATTGTGAGCAGAACAACCAGGCCTGCATCAGTTCGATGGAAGTTTTAGTGTCTTCAATCTTCATACACGAAATTTCTCTTGCGAAAAACACGATACAACCCGCCACGGGGGCGACTTACCGGAGCAGGCGAACGTGAGAAAATCAGTGTGGTTTCCTACAACAGAGATCAATGTGAGGCACACGGCTACTCTGTGGAAAAGCTTCGAGTTCTTTCCGAGTGCAATGTCGTAAGATCCCGACAATATAGCATTAACCTTAGAATGCAAGAAAACCACCGCTTCGTACGCAATTTCTCTGGGGAGGTACAACTCTGGTATGGGCGGAGGTGGCCTGCATTCAAATTGGCTTTGCGGTTAAGAGCTTCAAATTTTAAACAAACCCCTTGATTTTAGAAGAAACCCAAAAAAGCCCACCTGTTGAGGATCTCCGCGCACTTGGCCCAGACGAAGAGAATAGAGAACAAGAGCAGCAGAACGTTAGACAGCAGCGAGAGCAGAGTATATCCAGAGAATCGGAACAAAACCCAAGCCGCAAGCGTCCCTGTCAATAACCCGATTGCGACGTCTCTTCTCCTCCACAGGATCACATCTGCAACTGCTCAGAGCCCAACAACAATCCTCAGTTTACAAAAAAAAAAAAAAAGCTGACAGCAAAATTCCGGTACTTACTGAAACCTCCTCCCAATACTTGGTGTACGGTTCTCCGTCTCCCGAACAATCGCGCAGAGTAACAGCCCATGGAAGGATCAGGATCGAAATAGGAACTGGGATCAGAGTGAATTCAAAGAAAGGAAAGTCTGCTGCTGTGTTTTGTTTCAGTTTCTTTATTGGGCGGTGCTTCGCTGGAGTTTGGTAAAGGAGAAGGGAGTGGGCCTGTAGGAATCCAATTACAGCCTTGACTCAAAATGAAACTATTTAATAATAATAATAATAGTGACAAATTTTTGAAAGGACCTATTTTTTCAATTTTATATAGCAAAAATGACCTCGCGAGAAAATAATCTGTAAAACCGATCATTTTCTTCGGAAAATGATCGGTTTTGCAGTTGCGATGTTTTTCGAGCTACACGGGATTGCTAGTCCCGTTTAGTTCGGCCATCAATTGAAATGCACGGGACTAGCAGCCCCGTGCATTTCATTTTTCTTTCGAATAGTCTCTGCTTAAAACTCGGGATTGATAGTCCAGATTTTTAAGCAGAGATTTTTTGGGACGCAAAACCAATTGCACGGGACTGGCAGCCCCGTGTTTTTCGAGGGCACAAAATGAAATGCACGGGACTAGCAGTATCGTGCATTTTCTGTGCACAAAACCTGCACATGTTTCTTTTACTCTGTTGCTTTTCCTGTCAATTCCCTGTATAAGCTCATATATCAAATCTAAAAATCATAAATTACACCATTGCATTTCCTGTCAATTCCCTATATAAAATCATATATCAAATCTAAAAATCATAAATTACACCACAAACTTATTTGCAAATTCAACAAATCACACCACAAATCCACTTACAAATCCAACAAATCACGCCACAAACCCACTTACAAATCCAACAAATCACGCCACAAACTCACTTACAAATCCAATAAATCACACCACAGTCTCGGCTACAAATCCAAAAACCATCTCACATCCCGAAATAGGTTTGTAATGTGCATACCAAAATAGGATTGTAATGTATATAACAATAATGATTAGTTTACATACATCCAAGAACTCTTCTCCTCCTCTTTGTCTTCGGCCTCCTCTATCCCGACCTTCGACGAGTTCGTGATCCAGTTGCGTTTGTGGTTGTGACGGTCCAGCTCTGTCATCAACACGTTGGGAAGGCCTAACTTCATTGTCATTTCTACGTCGTCCTCGTCTTTGTTGTGGTTGACGTGTGTATACGAATTGCATTACCTCTCGTCCATCATGAAGGTCTTCGTGAGTTCGGTGTAAGGCTTGGTGAAGCCTATTATTGACTGATATATTGATGCATGTTCCTGTGTTTCGGGATATCAGGATATGTACCTGCGATGGTTAATTTAAAAAATCCAAAATGCAAAAATTACTTTAAAATTCAAATTACATAATGTAAATTTCATATTCAATTCTATATTACCTGCTCGAGCCAATTCCATGCCACGATTTGCAATGGTTTGAACATCATCTATTGCTGATACCTGCAAATTTTTTAAAAAACACGAGTTAGCAATATTGAGAACAATATTGAGAAATGCCAATAAAAATGGACTTAAAACAAAACTTGACAATACTTACTAATTCTCTCTCATCTATACCCCGAGGCACATATCCTTTTTGCAACTCAACCGGTGTTGTGGTCGCATAGAGTATTCATCTTCTGGTTATCCCCCAATACCAAGTGTAGTAATCTGATTCCCGGGGAGTTGGTTTAATTTGCTTAACAATACAAAAATGTTTATCATTCCATCTGTGAATATAATTTTGATGCTCAGCTGCCCAGTCCTTTTGTTGGCCTCCTTTCTTTGCCTTCCTCTCTATTTTTTCAACAAATTCTGGAACATGTTGTGCAAGACCAAATTGTCGAAGCACGCGGTCCGGTACATGCATTTCTACTATCTCGAAACATATTAGAGGAACTCTGGCTCTCCATGTAACTGAGTATTCTGTCGTACCGGGGGTAGATGATTGAGAAATTGGGTGTAGGGCTCCCATTCCATCTACAGAGTGTTTCATATCATTAAAATCAAAGTTGATATATAGAAGAAAAAGCTAATTTTTATAGAAATGATACCTGAAAAATCTTCATACGGTCAAACTCATTTTGGTAGAAATCTAATTGTCTAGCCGGGGTCTCGTCATAATATTTTTGGACATTCCATCTGTGTTGTTTTCATAATTCAGTACGACAATGATAACTACAATTATATTTGCTATGTTAAAAAATATAATACCTACATCCCAGTGGAATTTGTCTATCTAGTGCATTCAGGCATAGTCTTGGCTTCAAGTGAAGTCTCTCCTATGCCCATACTTGTAGTAAGCTGAGGCACCCTTTAAAGTCACTATTTTTCATGAATGTCACTTTGGAAATCTCTCTATATAGGTACACCAAAATGGGACTACCCCACGATAGATTACCACATGTTTCCAAGTCCCCAATGAGTGGTAACCACCTAGCATGTTCACAACATTTCAAGTTATTAAAAAAAGCTAATTCATGTTAATTATTGTAAATACTAATTATACATATCTGGCAATGCACTTTATCTTTACTCGAATCTGGAAATAATATTGAACTGATCATGTGCATAATGTATGCACGTGCATGTTGCTCAATCAATATTTATGGCGCATCAATACCGACTATCATCGGGTGGATGAAAACTCTCACTGTATGTCTTTCGGTATTGAATTGTTGAATACCACGGCGAACAATACCGATTATATGGAATTCTAGCACCTCCCGACTGATTGGAAGAAGCCGCAAGAACATGTGCACAAGGTATTTTTTAGAGTTGTGGTATGTTACATGTGCAAGTGCAATCAACATCAAATAGTTTAACGGTGTAGATACCGTCATAATCCTATACCTGTCATTCATTGTTATTGAATACAGTAATTTAACATAATCTTGCCGCCTCAATTCTTCTATGCAAAATAGACTCATTTTTTGGTGTGTAACGCGTTGTCCAGTCTACGCCATCCTCACGTCTTTTGTTGAAGTATGTATTTAGCCTATAGAACATTCTCGCAACCAATGATTGTATTGGCATAGCTCGTGCTCCTTTAAGAACGCCGTTAAATCTCTCAGAGCAATTAGTTGTCATCATGCAAAACCGCACACTCTCATCCTTACATAATGTCCATCGATGCTCGAATGAGACTTCAAGTAATTAATCTTGGCGTACGGACACTAGGAATCCACTTGTATATAAGTTCAAAGAACCACTTCCAACTAGAAGTATCCTCTACCTCCACAAGTGCAAATGCTAGAGGAAATAAATCGGCATTTGCATCTACACCGGTCGTCACAAGAAACACGCCTTTGTATTTGCCGTATAAATGTGTACCGTCAATGCTCAATAACGGACGACAAAAAGTGAAGCCCTTAATAGTATGACCAAATACCCAAAATACTCGAGTAAACCTCTCCATCCTTGGTGCAATCTCTTCAGACAATATTTCATATTCAGTACCCGGATTATTTCGCTTGATAGCTTCAAGACATTGTAGAAGTAATTCATACGTTTTTTCCCAATCTCCAAATATTTTAGACAATGTTTTCCTCCTTACATCATATGCCTTATATTTAGATATCTTAATGCCTCGCATGTTATATACCCTTTGAAATATCTGACCTGCATTTAGATCAAGTTCAACTCTAACTTCAGGCATAATTAGCTTACATATATAAGAGGAAGATACAGAATAATCATCGACATCCACTAACGGATTGCAACATGTATGAAGTCTGTAATATCTAGATATTACAAATTGCCCATTTGATGATTTTCTCATAGCTACATTTAGCAACCAAGGACATTTCTTGTTTCTCTCATCTTGCTCATTTGCATGCTCTACTTCAATCTTCTCGTTAAAGTAACATTTTACATAGTAGTTTGTTGCATTAGTTTTTATCGTCTTGAATTTAACCTGATTTTTGATAGACCATTCTTAAATTGCAAAGATCAATGTTTCCTTGCTCTCGAATAGGTCCCCTTTTAAAAAGTGAAGTCCTTGTTGAAAATTTGGACCAACATCAACAAATTCAGCTTAAAAAGTATTTATCCAATCCTCATTATGAAACTAGTCGGGTAACAGATCTTCAGCTTCCACATAATCATTGTTAACATTAAATTATTCCATCCAACGGGAGTCATCATTGATTCCAGCTGCCACCTGCATGCTATCAATTTGCACGCTTTCTTCTTCAATATCTTCTGAGTCATCATTTGCTTCTTCTTCTACAATTAAGCTGACTGGTAGGTCACCCGTAACATGGCCCGAAGCATCGTTAAAAATAGTACGTGACGTCCTACCAAGAGAATGACCACTTAAATGTTATAGTTGAAACCATGGATCTTGACTTGGAGATGTCATAAAACTACTCGACTCGTTGTCTAAGTCAAGCATCCGAGAAAACTCTCATTGAGGTCGTGAAACTTGGGCAAATTCGTGAATCAAATACTTCTTAATGAACAACTTAATTGACACTTGCTTTTCGACTACTTATTTCATGTCATTCAATTTCTCATCGTCGGTAATCTCCACAACAATAGTTCTACTCTCATTTATCGGACAATTGAAGAACACCTTAATTGTATACTCTGCTTTATTAATTTTAGTAACTCTGTGTATTTCATTCATCATTCCATCAAAATTACATGACTTAGATAGCATAAACATTTTCCTAGAACCTTCCTCATACATAGGCATATTATTCAATCCAACGTCGAGGGTCCCATTGAAAAAGCAAATAATGGATATAGAGTTTGCCACTGAAACTAAAATCAACAGTTCATCATATGTAAATAATCTATTATAACTGAAAATATTAATCTTAATTTAAAATCAAATTTAAAACCCTAATCTCAACTGAAAAGCAAATAATGGCTAAAAACCTAATCTCAATTCACATTATTCATGGCTAAATCCTAATCATATTATAACTAAAAATTATTCATAAAATCATAATCCCAATTCACATTATTCATGGCTAAACCCTAAACCCAAATCTCAACTGAAAAGCAAAAAACCCTAATCCCAAATCACATTACTCAAGGCTAAACCCTAATCACATTATTCATGGCTTAACCCTAATCACAATACTCATGGTTAAACCCTAATCCCAAATCTCAACTAAAAAGCAAATTTTATGGCTAAACCCTAACTCCCAATTCATACCCCTCATCAAATTTAACAACAAAATTAAAAAAAAAAACCTTGATCAGAGCTTGGTCGGCGGCAGTGGTCAGGAGCTTGGTTAGCGGGGTCAGCGGGGGTCGGAGGAGTCGAGAGAGGGGCGAGAGTGGGGAGGGGCGAGAGAGGGGAGAGAGAGGGGAGGGGTCACGGGTGCAGGAAATGAGGGAATGAGGGGTTTCACGAGTAAAAAGAAAGAAATGCACGAGACTGCTAGTCCCGTACATTTCAATTGCTGACCGAACTACACGGGACTAGCTCGAAAAACTTCGCGACTGTAAAACCGACCATTTTCCGAAGAAAATGGTCGGTTATGCAGATTATTTTCTCATGAGATCGTTTTTGCTATATAAAATTGAAAAAATAGTCATTTTAAAAATTTGTCCTAATAATAATGATACTGCCCATATTTTACTTATTATCTACAATCTTTTGGAGAAAGGGGAGAAATTAGTGTCAACTTCATTCTTATCACTTTCTGTTATAGCCTTGTTCGCGTGGGCGCTGGAGAGCATAGCAAAGAGGAGAACCGGGGCATTGATGTGTGGTTGGGTTGTTTGATGCGGACTCAACTGGGCTCACAATAAAGCCGATGCTGCTGGAATGATGATTAGACTGCTGGTAGTACCAGATATAAAGTATGCCAAGCTGTTAGAAACCTGATGTATATATATATAGAGGGATTATTATCTAATAATCAGTCCAATGCCATGATTAGGCAAAAAAAAAGGAAAAAAAAAGAAAAAAAGGAAAAGAAGAAGAACAAGATATGATCCCTTTATTTAAACCTGATGTAGATATATATAGAGGGATTATTATCTAATAATCAGTCCAATGAGATGATTAGGCAATGGACCTCTTTTTGACCCACTGTTTTGATCACAAATAAAGTTTGTCTTCTATTGTTGCAGGAGTGAGAATGAAATTAATCATAATATGTTCATTCTGAAAGCCATGAGACTAGGAGCTCAGTTTAGTAAGAATTTTGCATAAAGAAACACTAAATTATAATCGGATATAAAACTCAACTAAGAGCCTTCGTATATTGACTATTATATAATACACCTCTTTCTCAGGCATCCGAGACTTTTCCCCAACTTTTATTAGGGACAGTGAATTCAAACCTGACAGCTTCAGCTCTATTAATTAAAGGGAAAAAAAAGCTCAGGGAAGAAGAAAAGAGAGAGAAAAGAGAAGCATAACAATTTACCACATCTCCACACAATGTCTCCATACATATTAGCATCATATATCCTTCTAAAACATAGCGATTTTTACCAATATAGGAGTGTAGTAGAGACTGTTAAAACTCCCCCCTTTTTTCTACAAGAAAAGATCCAATAATACTTTCTCATTAACTTCAACAGGTAGATAAGCATCCACACAACCAAAGATGAAAGATAGCTTCAGCAGAGCTACCACTCATTGCGATAAAATACAGTTCTGAACAACAAACATATCAATTCAAGAACCAGCTCAGGCATGCAACTCAAGACGACAAAAGTCTCAGGCAGCAAACAAATGGACTTTCTCATGCAGTCACTCGCACACTCAAAAAGTTTTCTGTAGGGCATAGAAGCTCGCATCTGGAGAAACTTCTAAGGCGTTTTTAAACAAGTAAATCATAATGGTTCTTTCCACTATACAATAATCGAACTGGGATCCTTGGCTTCACCTTTCTCGATTTCTTGCTGAATTCAGATCCATATTCTGCAATGGGAATAAAACCATTTCCTCGTGTTCTTGCATGCTGTCAATAAATGAAAGACATAGTCAGTAAGAAGAAACTGCAACGAAAAGTATAATCAGCTATGTCAACTAAACAATCCAATTGTAATAGATAATATTAACCTATTGGGTACTAGTTATTTAGTCAAGGATGTTTGTATAGCAGTGCATCATGCACCTGAAGAATACCCTTATAAAGTCGAGATGTCAGTCATATCTGAAACCAACAGTTCAAACTTTTTTAAAATCACCTGAAGAATAAACTTATATAGTTACAAGAAAAAGAGATAATTCTGCCTAACACAAGTGTTCTTCAGCATTATAGGTCCACAAAAATAAAAGCTGAGTAATAGTTTTAACCTTGTTTATCTTGATGACTATAACGGAAACAAAGGAACACAGTAATGAAAATCAAGACAACCAAACAAGTGACAACTGACAGATTGAGAAAATGCACACGACTGCATGAGTTTTAAAGAAACAGAAATATGCCATAATCAAGAATACCTCTTCCTCAGGTATATACACAATGATTGGTTGATGGATTAGCTTAGATAGAACCTGAAACAGATGTGAAACACACATAAGGTCTTACTGAAAAATTAGTGTTGATGTATTGCATATTTCAATTTCATAAGGGAAATTATGTCAAAGTTCATTGTAAAACATTGCTTACCAATAGTTCTGACTCTCCTCCCCAAAAATCGGATCGTTCAATGCGCTGACAATATCTACAGCAAGAAAGAAAATTATTTAACAGGCTTGCATCTTCTATCATTATCTCATCTATTCCGGAAACAACTTACCGTTTTAAAGATTCATCCACTGTAATTGCTATTAACGCTTCTTCATACTGAAGGCGTTCTTTATCGCTGTCACAAATAACTTCCTTGACAGCTATCCGTAGGTCATCTGAAAAGTTGTAGACATTTGCATATATATGAATATAAGATGGGGTAAAACAGGTGAATGTATATGATGTAAGATGTTTTCATTATAAAGAATAGATGCTTCGATAGTGGAGATGAACCCGTGACAGACACTCCAAAATTGTGATCCTTAATGGATACATATGTGAGTGAAAAACAAATGACCCTATGCACAATAGGAAATCTTCACTATAAAGAATAGATACTCCAAAAGCAGAGGTGAACCCATCCTAGAGCTCTGATATTCTGATACTAAACAGATATCGTGTGTCTTTGATTCTCCTTCCGCAACCTATAATCTAAGACGAATCAAAAGCTAAAATATAAAAAGAAACTGATTCAAAAATGATGAGGTTTGCAATTCAGAATCCCAGATATGTTTATACGATTTGCTCACTTTAATAAGAATTATGCTATTCTAGCTGTTCTCATATAATATGACAAGTTATTTGACAGAATGTGAACTGTGTTGTTCAACTCAACAAGTATTTGTGTTGAGAACTCATGTTACAATAACACAGAGAAACAAACACACATATGAACATGGGTATCTTAATTCTCTCCGAGCATACAGAATTTCCTAGAATCATTACTATCCAAATGGTTTTGTATTGTTATACTGTTTCAACACGCAAATGGGCACAGAGAAGCAAACAATTTGACGAGACTTGAATCCTTCTTCTCCAATTGATTGTCTTCTTCAACATGCTTGTTTATAACTCAAATGTCATAGTAGACACACCTCTTGCCCTTGACTTTTAAGTTTTTGAGCTCAGTAACACTAAAGAATAGCGTGTTAACAAGCATGATTTTTTTGCATTTTTCAATAAAATATGTGCGCAAAGTTATTTATTGTCCTCTTGACATGAAATAGTGTAAACTAGTTTGATTATGATGTTCTCTCCTATAAAACGGGTGAATCAACACAAGTTGAATATATATTATTATTCACTAAACTCAAAAGTAACTTGGTAAAAATAAGATTATAAATTATAACCGTCTTCAATCCACAGAGATTAGTACCCGCATCGTCTCTCTCTTCTCTCGGGCTAAGCGAAAGCCCCTTGTTCTTTGCCATTCCTTTCACCTACAAGCACCCATTATCTACCTAAGGATTTATGAACGAGATGCTTTATTGGCAGATTCAGCAGTAAATAAATGAAATTGGAGTTCACCAGCGCACGAAACATGCAGCGGCCATCGCCTGCGACTTTCTGAACAGAGTAGTGCTCCACTTTCTTCATCGCCGGCGAAACCCCACCTCTTTTAGGGCTCATAAAGTAGTAAGTACACAAGGAAGAGTAATTTTGAAGAAAAATCATGGCAGAGAATCGTACAGAGAGGGGCCGATTCTGGCGAAGAAACGAAGAGACTTAGGCGTCGGGGACGGAGAAATCTCTGGGTTGCAAAGCTCGAACTCCGCGGTTCCATCCCTGAGCTGCTGTAGGATAAAGTCTAGAGCATCAGTCTAGAGCATCCAAAAAAAAAAAAAAAACAGAGAGAAAAGAGGAAAATTAATAGAAAAAGGGAGGAAATTTGTGCAGTAAAAGTAGGAAAGAGTTTTAGATGGGAGACCGTTTGAAGGCCTTCGCCGGTTCGCCATCGAAAGAGTGGAATGAGAAAGAAGGGTTTAAGTAAAGACAGAGGGAGAACAATATCCGGGGAGGAGTGGCGAGCGCGCAAGCGATGGTGGCCTTTATAATTAGGCCTTGGGTTTCTGTTACTTGGTCCGGCCCATTTACTTAGCGCTTAAAAGTTTTTTTTTAATTAAAATTTTTAAATACATGAAACTCAAAATAATACCGTCAATTTTCATCTTTTGACGATCTCTGAATCCATGAAAAGCTTCGAATCCATGAAAAAAATATTAAAAAGGAAAGTTTATTGATGAAAAGTTATTATCCTTTGGGGTTACATGATTCTTCTTAAATAGAAAAATAAACAAGACTCTTAATAAGACTAGAATTACAAAGAAATAGAAAGTATCAAATCCTAGAAACAAATTATGAATCAAAATTAAATGAGGTTTACGACAGGGACCCAAAATATGGGACCAACAGGGAAGACATATGAGGTGTTCCCCTCCTATTGCATAATGAGCTGGCCATCATTAATGATGATCAGCTCATTATGCAATAGGAGGGGGACACCTCACATGTCCCCCATGTTGGTGTCATATTTTGAGTCCTTGGGAAATTTTTTTAATTATATTTATTTCCTAATCTAATTTGGCTCTAATATTAAATTTATTTCCTAATTTAAATAGACTTTAATTTATTACTAAAAATAAACTAAAAGATTATTATTTTTAAATTTTACCCAAAACTAGATATTACTTATGAGATTTTAAAAATCTGACAATCTAGTTGGCTCCGTCTCGTCGAGATAGACGATTTGTATATATAATATGTCAGAATCCGCCTTCCGGATTGGAAGATATAATTGTTTCTTTGTAAAATTGTGTTAATGCCCAAAAAGCAAAATCTTCATGTGTTGTAGACCCTTTGACTTTTTCCCATATGGTTCAGCCCTTAAATTAGAGATCTATGTTCTACATTCCTCTTTTAGCAATTATTACATGCCAACTAAGCATAGACAAAGAATAAAAAGTAAAAAAACCCTAAAATACCCTTATCTCCTCTATTCTTTCTTGCTAAGTGATCTAAAAGCAGGTTGAATTAGACTTGACATAAAAGTCTATTTCATATCAAGTCTAATTCAGTTCATGTTAAGTCTAATTTAATTTCTTTTAAGTCTAATTTAAATTACGTTATGTCTAATTCAACTTGTTTTAAGTCTAATTTAATTCATGTTAAGTCTAATTCAACTCGTTTTAAGTCTAATTACATGTTAAGTCTAATTAATTCATATTAAGTCTAATTTAATTTCTTTTAAGTTTAATTTAAATCATGTTATGTCTAATTCAACTTATTTTAAGTCTAATTTAATTGGACTTAACATAAAACTAGACTTAAAAAAGTTGAATGAAACTTAACATGATTTAAATTAGACTTAAAAAGAATTTAACATGATTAAAATTAGACTTAACATGAACTGAATTTAGACTTAACATGAAATTAAGTTGGACTTAACATGAAATTAGATTTAACATGAACTATCATTAGACTTAACATGAACTGAATTTAGACTTAACATGAAATTAAGTTGGACTTAACATGAATCAAGTTAGACTTAACATGAAATTAGACTTAACATGAATTGATATTAGACTTAACATGAACTGAATTTAAACTTAACACGAACTAAAATTGGATTTAACACTAATCAAGTTGGACTTAACATGAAATTAAACCTAGCATGAACTGTTATTAGACTTAACACGAATCAAGTTGGACTTAATATGAAATTAGATTTAACATGAACTATTATTAGACTTAACATGAACTAAAATTAGACTTAACACGAACCAAGTTAGACTTAACATAAAACTACACCTAACATGAACTATTATTAGACTTAACATAAACTGAATTTAGACTTAATATGAATCAAGTTGGACTTAACATGAACTATTATTAGACTTAATTAACATGAACTGAATTTAGACTTAACATGAACTGAATTTAGACTTAACACGAATCAAGTTGGTCTTAACATAAAATTAGACTTAAAAGGAATTAAATAAGATTTAACAACAATCAAATTGGCCTTAACATGACGTAAAATTTGACTTAACATGAAATTAGACTTAAAATAAGTTTAAATAGACTTAACATGATGTTGGCCCTATAGTTTTGATGATGATTTGTCAAAAAATTTATCGCTAATCTATTCTCTAGTTTTTGTTGTTTTGTTTTTCTCTTTACAGGTAATTCAACACACGACAATCAAGCATTAAAGATTCAAGTTCATGTGTGTGCATTCACCTAGGTATAAGTTTAGTTTGCTTGCATATATCGTATGTCTATATTTAAGCTCAATATATGTACACTTAACACAGTTTTGACATCTTTCTATCATATAAATGATTTTTCATCAAACTTTGTTACTACAGCTTTTAGTTCATGTTTACATCTTTCTCATACCTTATTATATATATATAATGTATGCATGATACATATATACGTGTTTACAAGTCATATCTTAATTTTCATGTTCACGAAAAACAGGTTTTCTGAACACTTTTCAAAAACAGGGAGTTTTCACAAATAAAAATTGATTTTCTAAAAATTCCTTTTCAAACATGTTTGTTTCATCATTTAGAAATTTTCCTCAAAGTTTTACTATTTTTGGAATTAATTTGATATTTTTATTGTATTTTTAAAATCAGCCCAAAACCTGTCATATGCCATGTATCAGTTTGCGGTCGACCGTCACGGTCGACCGCCAGCAGCAAACTTTCTTAGTATGGCTCTTATGTACCGCCACGGTCGACCACCAGCTTTCAAACCCAATTCTTAGCTTTTTTATGCCTCGCGGTCGACCGCGAGATTTCCACGGTCGCCCGCCGATCTCATCATTGCCTTTTAACGTCTATTTTCTGTAACAGCTGTCTAAGGCTATTTTGGTCTTTTCAAGTTGGTTTTGGCTGATATTTTGAGTGGATATAAATACCCTATTGCTGTTCTCTTTCATACATATCAAGAGTTTGTTTTTACATAAGTTTTAACAAGAGATTAAGAGTTGTTTAAGAGCTGTTTAAACTGATTTCCTTAATCTGTTCTAAGAGAAGTTTTCTACAACAAGAAGAAGCTTTCAACTCCTATTTGGGATCATCATATACTATTCTTCTTGTTTATTGAGAAGTTTCCTAAACTCTTTCTTATATAGCTTATTGATTCATTTTCATAACTTAGCTATATTTTATTTGAGTTGCATATTATCTATTCACTGTTATCACACACACAATTTTGAGCTTAATATTTTTATACTATATAGTGTGGGTTGTGGGGTGTGATTTAGTGAGTATGAGCTTCATTGTGTTCTCATTTGTTATCGAGAACAAATCATTTTATTTAATCATTGTTGTGAGTATCACTTGTAATATACTTGTACACCGAGAGAAGTGTGAGGCGTGAGACGGGATCGAATCCAATAGGAGTGGCGCCGGTTGACGAACCTAGGGAGAGGTTGCATCCGAGCACTTGAGAAGGAGGACACGGGCTAGGTTCCTACACATAGTGTGTAAAGTGTGATTGCATAGTATTGGTTGTGTGAGAGTTTTCGGTAAGCTTGTAAACCGAGTGTGTAGAAGTTCCGGCTTCCAAGCCGGATTATGATAGTGAAGATCTCCTCGAGGTGAGGAGCGGGGACGTAGGTTGTGGTGACCGAACCTCGTAAACATATCGTTTGTTTGGGTTTTGCTTAGCGTACATTTTATTTGTGCTTATTCATATCATTCTTGCTCATATCTATCTTATATCTTTCTTGCAAGAATAAATTAATCAATATAATTTTAATTGGAATTTAATCGGGATTAGATTAGTATAAGACCCTAATCACCCCTCTCTAGGGTCTAATAATTGGTATCAGAGCTTGATGCTCTTTGATTTAAGGTCTAATCACCTTGAGTTAAATATCCAAGTTATCGTTCTTGTGCTAATATTTTTTTATTATATTTTGCTTCTTGCACATAATCTTTATGGATATATATGATGCATCTAGTTTAGGTTATGCTATTAATGTTGCTCCTCATTTAGATAGTTTTCCTTATGCTCAATGGTGTGTTAGATTCAAACTTTTTGTTCAATCTAAACAATTCGATTTATGGGAGATTATTGAGGATGCTTATACTGTTCCCGCTTTGGAAAAATCAAAGTGGAATATAGATGATAAAAGAATGTTTAATATGAATAAAATTTTATTAGAATATTTGCTTAGTGCTTTTCACTCATCGTTTTCTAACAAATTTGCTCATTTTGATAGTGCTTACACATTATGGAAATTTATTGAAGCACATCAAGGGGACTTGGAGGCTATTCAATAAGCGTTGGAAAATCCCGCTTTGAATTCTAAAGAAGCCTCATCTCCATGTACAATACCACTAGGTGATAACCCTAGTGAGGTATGCGAACTTGATAACGATGATATTATTACTTTTGATGAGCTTGCTCTTGAGTTTGAAAAATTACACAATTGCTATATTGATGTAAAAAGTAAGTATGTTGATATGAAATCTATTCATGAAACACTAGACACTAAGTTTAATTTCATTGCAAATGAAAATATAATTATTAAAGAATGCAATGAAAAGTTGAGTTTATAAAATGCTAGTTTGCTTCATAAAAATTGTGATGCCATGTTAGAAGTAAATAAGTTAAAATCTATGATAAATAATCATGTTTATCATACTTCTAGTAACAATGCTTGTATACACAATGATGAGTTGAATCAAATGAGAAAATGAATATCTTCCTTAGATTCAACACTAAATACTTGTATTGCTAATAATAAAAAGCTTATGGACTTGTGTGCTAAGTTCAATGTTAATTCTTCTAAGAAACATATTCACTATGCACACATATATGACAAAATTCACAAATGTTCTATTTGCGGTCGTAAAGGCCATTTAGCTTAATTTTGTCATAATGCACAAAAAATTAACAAGCCTATTCATGATTGTGCATCCCATCAAGCTTCCTCATCACAAACACATGTACACACACATAGTATAAATCATAAACATGCTCATGTGTATGTTTTCACCGAAAGTTGCTTCCATT